CTCAGGACAAACCACTATTTCTACCTCTACCTGATGCTGCTGTCACTATGGAAAGGGTGATGTGTATTAATGTGCTGGTTCATGAACTGGAGAAGCTGAGTTCTTTACTTTTCCACCAATTTTGCTTCAATGCATTTCACAACTACAACTGCATCACGAAATTTGTACTATTTCAAATGCAAATGAAAACCAGTTGTTTTTCTACCTACTTTGGCTTTTAACTGTTGATAGATTGAGTTAAGATATCTGGATACTGTGCTACTTCAGAAAAAAAAAAAAAGGTAATTTTGTCCAGAGGAGAAGGAATGTTGACTGAAGAGTGGGTGGTTACCTACAAGGAAAAAATGGAAATCTAAGACTTGAGAGGCTTGTATTTCATGAAAAATAAGACACACAAACCACATGGGAAACAAATTCAAAGCCTTGTCAAGTGAAACATATAAGGGAGCTCTTATGTATTAAAATAATGAGACATCTCTCCTAATTCATCTCCTCCATAAGTAAAATAATAGTCAGTGAAATTTTGCAGCAGATATATTTCACATTAATGCTATTTGCTGTTGTTAAAAATGACATATTTTGTACTGTTTCTATTATCATATTTCACACACAGACACAGAGCCTGTTTGGCTGAGTCATCTTGTACTTCATATCCAGTACTATTGGGGGACTGTGTGTTTCCAAAGCCTTAAATCTGGCCAGGAAGTATAGATTCTAAATAGATGTAATTAATAACTACAATGATAATAAAATATACTCATGGCCAAAATACCTGGCCAAAAAGATACTAACCACATCTAAAGAAAAAAAAAATGTTCCTTGCCCCAAAAGAATTCTAATTAGATTTTCCTGGGAAAACTGAGTATCCTCTGGGTTTTGTGGTAGGATTTTTGTTTGTTTTAAAAAATGTACATGGGTTTCCATTCTGTCTGTTTTACTTACCCTTGTGTGACTAAACCAATATTTTGGTTTTTCCATGGTCCAGAAGCATCTTCTTTTGCACCAATCTCAAGGAAACTCAGACCAGTACAGCCACAAGAACAGGGGATGTCAGAAATGGCAGAGGGTGTAGGATGTTGTTCCCATCCATCCCACTGAAGCAAGCTACCAAAGCAGGCTAAAAAAAATCAAGCTGTACTCTCCCTCCCATGCTCTGTTGGCTCTAAGGCAGTAGGAGGCAAAGGGAGAAGCCAAGGTCACTTGTTTGCTGAAGGCATACGTTAGAACAGAAGTGGAGCTCTTCAATTATTTGTGTTGCAGTAGTGCCAGTCATGGACCAGGACCCCATTGAGTCAGCCAGAATACAAATGTGGAGCAAAGCAGTAATCCTTGAGCTTTGGTTAGCCAGTAAATCACCCTCCTTTAAGGGATGGGGATTTGCATATTTATGGTTGGGAAATAACTACGCTTTAATCCACTGGAGCCTCTCCTATTACGAGTGCACAGGGGGTTGTGTAGATGGGAAGAAAAGAATCAGTGTTACAGCCAGTGACCACATGCAGCATTCAGCTCTTTCCTCTGACTGAGGAAACTGCATTTCAATTTAGGAATATTTTTTTAAGCCCTGTGTTTTTTTCCATTTTTCTCAGCCTCAAATAATTTTTGTGACAAGCCATAGCAGCATCCTGTCCTCGTCACAAATGAAAGTTAAGTAAACCATGATCTAATTCTCCCAGCCAGAGGGAGGATCTGTGACAGCAACTTCTTCCACATGCTCATTTTCTATTTCCAAGTCTTCTTTCATAAATAACAGGCTTTCAGAATTGCCCACTCCATACTGCCCAGCACTGATTTACTAATGGTATGTCTAGAACAGAGGATTTACATACAAAACCAGAGTCAGAGCATTTACACAAGAGGATGGCAGGCTTTGCCATAGTAGACACTTAAAAACACAGCTCTGCACACTGAGGTTTATCCTGCCATGGCACTGAAAAACACGTGTGTTGCGCCACTGTATGCAGGGCTACTTAGGCCATGAGTCTTCTTGAAAGCACACTTCAAGGAGCACACACTTACTCAACACTTACACAGCACGGTTCCAGGCTTGGTGCTCGAATAGAAGGCCATGAACAAAATATTCATAGCCTGATACACCTACGTGTGGACTGTTCCGCAAATATTTGATCAGACACTGCTGCCTTGTCATCGTCTATCTATCTCTGCTTGGTAGACAACCAACCTGTGTGCCAGGTTAGGTTCAGTGCTAAGCTGTTGACTTGAATCTGTTCACACGAGCAAGCAGCAAGTGCCAGAGCCTGGAGAAGTACAGTGGGGAGAATACAAAAAGGTTTTAGCAACACATTGTCAGATTGCTCGGGAAATCACAGGGATATACATCTTCCAGCACAATGTGTTATAGTCTGTGTGGCACATCAGAAGCAAAAAGAAAATCAGCCTTGGAGGTCATGGCACTGCAATAACTATTTTTAGATGTCTGGCATCCTGAAGGCGGCCACAGCTTTGCATTGTATATAAGAGGTTCCCTAACAGCAGAGCTGTCCAGCCTTCTGATTTTTAAGAATTCCTTGCGTGCTAAAACTGAAAGTCTTCAGTGAAGGGGTAGGCTCACAAAGAGAAGACTGACATCTATTGTTGTAACTACAGGGCTGTTTTCCACTGTCTGTGTCCCCTGGAGAATCACCTTATGGATCCTTCAGTGTTCACAAATGACAGGGCTGAGTGCCATGATCCCCAGCAGTGCTGGGGGGACAGCAAGGTACCTGCTGACATTTACACGCTACTTCACACATGGATGCTCTGCAGTGGATGAGTTAATCACTAGAATATGGTTCACCACCTGGATTAGTGCCCTAACCCCTGAGCAAATGACTCATGGTCTCTCTTATGGATCCCAAGTAAATCTATATATGGCAAATCTAACTGCTTCGGCTCACTGGTTTGAATTTCCCTGGACAGACATTTAGACGTGCAGGGAGCATGTTATTAATAGCAATAAAAGTTCCTCTAACTTCAGGAACTCTCAGAACTCAAATACTATCAAATGCATGGATCAGCTAAACTTGATCAAACATCTCCAGTAAGAGTTAACAGACTCCTTTGGTGCCTGATGCCTTGTGGATTCCTGGATATCTTTTGCACTACTATTTACAGAGGCAGGCCTCAAACATGTATAGTTTGCTTACATTTACAGAGAGGCCTTATGACAGTTTTATAACTCGTGGAATGGTGAGTTGAGCGTGACCCCTTGTCTCAAACTATGAGTACTCTGTGCTAAGCACTGTATGGGGAACAGGAAGACAGCTCTTGCTCTGGTCCTAACTCCCTGCTTTGCTTTAAATTGACCATTTATCACATTAAATTAGTTCTAGAAATAACCCTGTATTTCCTTCTCCCACTTTACTTCATACCTAAAATACATTTAGGAACCTCTCAAAACTTGAACCTCCTCCTAAGTGTTGCCGGCACATTCTCAAATACTTTGTCTAGACTTGAAATATGTTTAAGCAGCAAAGTCCAAGTGGGGAACAGACAACATATTGAGTTCATGATAAATTCACTGGAGCGAAGGCTAATCTTCAAGACTGATAACATTCTGCCTCTCTTCAACAGCCTGAAGGCAGGAACTGGGTTTAATGACACTTTTTGCACAGGACATGGGATCTCCCAAAAGGCCAGTCTGATATCTTTTCCCAGTGTCTCTGCTCTCAGATGGTATAAGCCCAACCAACAGTGCTTTCAACTTCAAATGCCCACATCAATGCCTACAGACAGCTGGGTTATACAAATTCAGGTCTAATTCAGACATTTAAGCTCATACTGAACCATAATGACCTCTCTCCACTGCCTGAAAAGGAAAAATGAAGATAAGCATTTTCCTATGCTCTTACTACAAAACGAGAAAACACCTGAAAACATGCAAGCCTTCAGCCTTCTATTACTATGAAAATATTCCGGATCCAAGGCTTCCCTCTAGTGGAAAATCCATGAACTTTTCTTTAACAGCTGTGGAAAACCACATGCCAAAAGCACGTACAATGTTGCTGTTGAAACAGTAAGTGGCAAGCGCATTCACCCATGACAGCACAATTATGCTTGAATCTTTTGAGTCACACTTAACACTCGGCCTCTCTCTAGATTCTAGAGCTGAAGAGATGAGAGAAACTGCCCCTTTCGCCTTAATTGCTAATTCTGGACTAAACTTTTGTTATTCATACTTGTATCAGGTCAGGCTTTTCCATTAGGGCCTGGGTTTCGGAGCAAGCTTATTCCCTACGATAACAAGTTTGTCAGCCCTGAGAAGAAAGAGATGGTAGATTGGTGTGAGATGGCAGTAGCAATGCATGACCTTATGCTGGGTCAATGAGTTCCCTTGAAGTTTATGCTGTTAACACAATTATTTGGTTTATGTAGGGATCAGCAATAGGGATTTTATAAAATCCATAAAAACCCCGCACAAAACAACTGGTTTTCAAATATCCACAAAACAAGTCAGGTAAGTAAATAAATCTACTGTAATTAATAGCAATCGAAATTAATGCATCTATAGTTTCACATCCAGACCACGTAAGGTATTTTGAAGGCTGACAAGGAGCAAATGTAGCTTAATTAACCTATACAGAGGGAGACCATAGCAGAACACCTAACACAATCATAGAGGTGCTATATGAGCACAAAGGCTGCAGACTGGGGATGTCAGCAAACCCAAGATTAAGTCAAAATTGTGCCCCTGCCCTGTTGTTCTTTACACGTCCCAGTGGCGTTAGTTACTTAGGAAGCACTGCTACTGTCTTTTTCAGCTCCTTCTAACATGTTTCACAGACCTCGAGGAAGAGCACAGCCAGAGGACCCTGACTGAAATGCTGAGGCATAGAGGTGCTCTAGGTACCTCTACACGTTTTTTTTTTTTTTCTTAACGACTTAGAGGGTTAACATTAAACCAGTCAATGCTGCAACTCAATAGAAAAAAAACCCTAATGCCTGTGATGGGACAAAGTTTGGTGTCCATAAATATGCAAAAATTCCAGACCAAAGGCAAGTGTGTACAAAATAATTTATTACAGCATAACATATGTTGGCAATATTTTACAGTGAATTTTCCATTCAACAATTTTTTAATCTAAACAGATGACACACAAAGGAGAATTTTAATTAGAACAGTTTATTTGTCTTAATAAAATCCCCTCTTCATGAATTGGTATTTGCCTTTGAGGGGCTAGTTAATATTACTGAAATTATTTACACTGCAGTGAAATAAAAACAAACCGAGATTGAATGATTCCATTATAGTTTCCAGAAAACAGATTTTCTGTACAAGCCACAGTATAGTTATGTTTTGATAGCAGTTCTTACAGAATGTAAAGCTGTCATGTGATATGTAGCCGTTTCGTCTAGCAATGCTATGTTTTAAATAGGCATATTAGATTTAAACTTCCATTTTGATGTGTTGTATAATTAATAGTTAATGCACCAAAATATAAAGTAAGAAAAAAGTTCATTATGGTTTGTAGTCAGCCTCTTTGTGCTCCCTTAAGCAGTTTTAAAATGTAAAACATACTTCTCAGATGCTATTTTGCCTTGCAGCACCTACAGCAATAGTATTTAGGCATGAGAAGTACTGGAGTATTGGCCGTGAGTAGACAACTAAGACTTTTAATGGAGGTAATACAGCACAACTACCAGTGAGTTTTTATGATGTAGAAAAGAACCATATTCCCCATACTGTACCTTCTGCATTTGCCCATAACTGGAGCAGCTTTTTCAACCTAAGTGTCAACAGATGGGGAGAAACCAGAAGGAACAGGAGGAAGAGGGAAATGGAACAAAGGACAAACGACAGTATCAAATTCATTACGTTTTCTCAGGGAATTGCTTCAGGATATTAAAACTTTAAGATGTTAAATGACCATAAACTTAAGGAAACAAGAGCTAAGGAACACAAGGTAGATGGAATAGTTTTAAAAAAACCTTAGTTATTAGCTGTTTTGTTTTTTACACAAACTTAATCTTCACATCTGTCAACACTGGTTCCATATAAGACACACACCTGACAAAAACATGCAACCCCCCAATGCTTTCATTGTTGCTGTGCTTCAAAAGAAACCAAACTGACCAAAGATTAAAAAGAAACCCAATCAAAACAACCCAGAAAAAAAACCCCTAAAGAACAGTAAAGACAAAGAGGGCAATTCAAGCAGCACTTCAGTCTTAATCTGCTAAAAACGCTCAAATGATAATTTATTAACAAGATATGATCACATTTATCTGTATATGTAACAACACTTAAGTGAAAGCATTCTTCAACATCCATATTTTTTGTGAGGGAGGGCTGATGAATTATTAAAATACTTAAACCTGTACAAGTATAAACATGAAAAATGCTGATTAAAGATAATGTTTACATAAATATTGGCAGTTTTCATTGGGAGGAAAAAACCCTAATAGCATACTCCATTAAACTATCCAAATATTTTGTTTTATACCTGTTAAAGATATTAAAATACAACCTGGAAAAGTAACCCTGATCTGTATCCAGCCAGCATGTAATGAGAGTCAGAGTTTCGTATACATGTGTGCATGTAGGTATACACACACACGGGCTTGCACACACTACTTCAAATTTCATTAGACAGCAAATCATGGTTAATGGCCGTATGATTCACAGATGCAATGCTGCTGTTGTCCTCATTTGTGGCAGGCATGAAGACAGATGTAAAAGGAAACAGTTTATGACATGCTGCTTGATATTCTTCACATTGAGCATGGCAGCTTCCAAAACTGCCATCAAGCAGTGCCTCAAAAACCTTTGTTAATGTCTAAAGAAACAAAAGTTAACAGTTAATAAATGTGATTTACAGTTTTTCTATTCCTAAAAGCATATACTGTTAAACAATACTAATTTGAGCAAATTGTTTTCTCTGTTAATATTCACATATCTTATAGTTAGAAGAAAAATCTGAAACCTTGCTCTTTCAGATATTTGTATTTATCATGACATTTGAAGCATGTTCCTTATCCTGTATTAAAGCAAACACTACTTAAGATCCCAACTTTGAGGGGCTTTATATACTCTATTTTTTACCTTCACATTTTTGTCTCTCATGTTTTTATCCAATCTGGTAGCAACAGCAATTGCTTTTTCTTGCCTTGATTTGTCCAGGAAATACATCATCTTTGCACCTTATCACAAGAAAAAAACATAATGTTTAGCTTTCCCAAATGCCATACTGCATATACAGACACAAAGAACCTGAAAACTTGTAAATAAATGTGAATTACACTTCTTAAAAGCTTTAATAAACCATATCTTCCTCCCTTATTTGTAACTGAAAACTAATAAACCTAAAGTCATTCTGAAATTTATTAGAAATGTAAGGATTGAGTAACACAGGAGATCTGCTCCTGCAAAAGTGAAATGCCTTACTTGACTGACAGGTCTTCGGTAAAGAAATGTATCACAGAGTACACTGACAATGAAACCCTTTAAATCAAGCAGGCTAAATGAAATTCATCCCACAAATGTAGAAGGAAGTAAAAGATGTTTCCTCAGAGACACTCTGAATTCTTTTCAAAAGTACTCAAGGTAAGTGAACAACACAGTTAGTAAACAATTGTGGAACATGGTCCAGAAAAAATTCAGACCAGTATATGTCCATATGGCAGAAAGCAAGGCCAAGGGAGGCTACTATAGAGCAGATCATCCTGAGTGCAATCACACAGTACCTGCAGGATGGACAAGGGATCAGAGACAGCCAGCAAGGATCTAATTAGGAGGGGCAGGTCCTGTCTGACCAACCTGATCTCCTTTTATGACCAGGTGACCCACCTAGTGGATGAGAGGAAGGCTGTGGATGGGTCTATCTGGACTTCAGCAAAGCCTTTGACACTGTCTCCCATAATATACTACTGGAAAAGCTGGCAGCCCATGGCTTGGACAGGGGCACTCTGTGCTGGGTCAGGAACTGGCTGGAGGGCCGGGCCCAGAGAGTGCTGGTGAACGGGGCTGCATCCAGCTGGCAGTCAGTCACCAGTGGTGTCCCCCAGGGATCAGTGTTGGGACCAGTCCTGTTCAACATCTTTATCGATGATTTAGATGAGGGGATTGAGTCCATCATCAGCAAATTTGCAGATGACACCAAGTTGGGAGGGAGTGTCAACCTGCCGGAAGGCAGGAGGGCTCTGCAGAGGGACCTGGATAGACTGGAGAATTAGGTTGATTCCAATGGGATGAAGTTCAACAAGGCCAAGTGCCGGGTCCTTCACTGACACAGGTGAAGACCTAGAGCTACCAAGGACCTATCTAGTGACTATACTGTTTTCTATAATAATGGACGACCAGAAAATAGGACCTGGAAAGCAACCTGTTAGATGAGGCTCAACAATGACTAGAGTGGAAGAATACATCTGTAAGAATCAGGACAAATTGACTGCTCAGGTATCTGTACTTGGCTTCCCAAATCTGGAGCCTGCTTGCAGGAAAGCGGTGCAAGTATTTCTCTCAAAATGCTGTCCTGAAACGTGGACCTTGGAAGTCTGTGGTAAGTTACCTAACCTTCCTCCAGGAGAGATGAGCAACCCTCTCAAGCTATGTCTTTCCAGTGATTCTGAACAGACCTTGGCTAACTTTTAAAAACCAGGTGAGCTTAGCACTACTTGAGGCACCTGATAAAACTATACTTACAGTTTTTCTTAACTGCTGGAAATTGTTTTGTAAATAATGTGGCCTTAAGGGGCTGCAGATAAAGATTCTGGATTTGTATCACTTAAATCATCTCCTTTTCAAGACCATGAAAAAGTTAAACAAACCTGACAGCTGGTGCTGAATGGAGGTAGCATTGTGTTTGAGAAATTCTTCATTAAAACTCTCCAAGTTTTTATTAACAAAGATTTTCTGCATTTCTTGAGTTAGGACCTTGCTCACAATTTCTGGGAGGTTACTCTGGTCAGATACTAGAAGGCACAAGGTAAGAGGGAAATAAATAAAAAAAAAAAGTCATTTAAACAACTGTAGAAAAGTGTGAAACCACAGACATCACTGCTGAAAATCTCTAGTTTTAAGATCTGTGCACAGAAACAGAGATCTCAGATCAAAATATGTCAACATGAGCATTGCTGATACATTTATAGACAAAATATTCATAAAGGGTGCTCTGTCATGTAAGCTTTCTCTTACAAGTTTGTAACACACTTTGTTTTGGTCAAAATCTCTTTCCTGTTATCTGCCACTTATTTTTTTTTTTTTTAAATTTAAAGACCTTCCAGGATCTTTGGAACACTTACTCCTCCGTGAAATCTAGCCAAAATGAGTTGCTGGGTCCACCTGGTGGATTAAGGGAGGAAGGAGTATAATACAATACATACACAGTACCCTGGGTAGTACAACCTGTGTTATCTTTGGTATTACCATGGGAAAAAACCAGTTTATTTTTATTTTTCTTCATAGTTTGTGTTTCAAGAGTATACATTACAAACAATATGTAATTATGTCCTTTTAGAATGTAACTTCCTATATCTTTATAATTACATACATACTTCCTACATACATACCAGCTTTAGAGAATTTAATCAAGCACTCATGTAGCCATGGGTTATTACTGTTGATAGCAAAAGCTCTTTTGACAGACTGTAACATTAACAGAAACTTTCCTGTGGGAAGGAGAAAAAACCAAAACACTAAGAAACCAAGATTAAGAATACAGAACTTTTTTTCTTTATATCAACTACTGTTTTCTTCAGTAAATCTAGTACAGATATTAGAAACATTAATGTCTGAGCAGAATTAGAAAGGAAAGTTATTTTTCCCATTCAAATGGCTTAATAGGACAGAAGTGCCTGCTGCTTGAACTCCGGCAACACTGTCACTATCCACTGTGCTTTGTTTTCCTCTAGATAATTAAACATCACACTGCAAATATCTTTCTACAGTATTTATTACTATGTACTACAACTTATGTTGCTCAAGGGTAGCTAAATAAAAATCCCATTTCCCCTATTATTACTGGATATGATGCAAACCTCAGCTTTAGTCAGTTAAGTATTTATTCCAGATCATTTTAAGCTACACTCTGGCTGCACTGAAGGATTAAAATGTTGTAGAGCAAAAATAAAAGTAGGCAGTACTTTACCTTTTCTAAAGTATATTTCAAATGCTAATAAATGTGTTTCTATTTCATCTCCAATAAGATTCTTAAGTGGTATAAGGAACTTAATGGCTTCTTCTAATGGATTTTCTACCTGTTTTAATAGAAACACAGTGAAATTTAAAGCTTAAAATAAATGTCAAACCCCACTATTGATAGTTTCTGTTATTCAGACCATTTAAATAATTACAGGCTAAAGGTGAACCAAAGCTAGCTTTCTGAATTAAACTGAACCACAAAATTTTTATTTAAACAGCAAGATTTAAAAGTGTTTACTCGTGATTTCATGTTAACAAGGACAGCATCATTGATAACTCTGGCACTGCTTGTGTCATTTAATGAGTAATTTACATTTTAGGAAAATTAAATACAACCACCTTAGACAACAAGCTTGAAGTTATAAAGAAGATACTTTTGTGTTTAAAGAAACATTAGCTTGTGTCTCCAAATTTTGTAAACTGCAATAATTTGCTACTTTATTCACTGTATGAAAACCAGATTTCTTCAGGCAAAAAACATCTTTTTGTCAGTATCTATTTTAAGGAAATTAACAATATTATTAACATAGAACTTGGATTTTTTGAGGAAAAAAACTACTCTTCTTTAGTGTAAATAGAGGTAGACTACAAAAAAAGTTTTTTTGCATGCAAAAATGATTTTATGAAAACACCTAGATTCTTTTAGGAGAACCTGACAGTAAACCCTATCATAGGCTTTTTTATGATAATCGCGTGAGTTTAACATGAAAGACCATGCTAACCCTTTCCAGTTTTTCAGGAACTAGCTCTTCCCTGGGTCCACTAGTTTCCTCCTCCTCTTCATCTCGTTTTTTCTTTTGATTTTTTTGCTGTCGTTCTCTTTCTGCATGCTTTCTTTCTTCTTCAAGTTTTGCTTTCTTCTGTGCTCTTCTTTGCTTACTAAGCATTTTCTTCAATTCTTTGGCTGAGAGATTTTCTACAAATTAAGGTAACGTAATTTATGTTAACAGTATTTAATTAAAAATCTTGTTTCCCTCGAACAACTCAGACGTATCATTATGCTCCTCCCCATCTCAAAATTGCAAACTTTCACAGTCATTTCCACAAATACCAGCATTTCCCAGAGTATCACCACCACATTAGACCAATGTTACTGTTGGATGACTATTTGCAGCCCAACACACCAACCACTCGATCTTGAATATTTTCTGTTACAGAGCTATTACAAAAGCCTCAACGATTTGAAAAGTCAGCTACGTAAAGCTGTTACATCTGTGTCAAGTTTTAACATAAGACATTGGTAATGGTTTTCAAGGCTAGCACTAAGCTCCAATATTGACTAACTCATCTTACTTCCAGTGCCATCTAGAAACATCCAGACAGAGTTACATTTCCTCTTAAAACATGCTTGTTATTTTTCATTTAAGTGTCTGGACAACATACAGCCATGATAATTGCATTTATTTTCTGCAAATGCCATGAGATAGCTAAATGGAAGTGATCATTTAGCCAGAATAATACTGTGGTTTCCACTCTTTTTACTGTGGTGTTTTACCAAGAATAGGATTTGTGCTAAGAATGTAGGAAGGCACAGAAAAATCAGCTCCTGAGGGAAATTGTTTTCATGGCTATAGCACCCTGACCTCCCTGCTGGGGTCAGCCACCAACTGGAGACAGGGAAGCAAGTGTTCTTTTTACCCCACAGACAAGCCTGCTCAATCCCAATGCACAGCAGGCAAATGAACTAATGTGACTTCTTAGACACTACCCACATTTCTTTCTATGATATATTGCTGTGAAGATCCTCTGTCACACACTAATCTTACATTATATACAGAAACAAAGTTGGAGAGAAAAAAAGTCACAAGTCCAACTTTTCAAAGGTGCTTCTTATATTTACTTCATTATACATAATCAGGCATGGAAAAACTTGCTATTCACCTCTGAATTAAAGGTAAGATTGTATTTGCAGTATCAAGTTGAATTTTTGGTTTAGCTTCATTTTTTCCTGTGTCAAATATTCTTCCCTTTGCAAAGGGAAGCTAAACATTCATTTCACTATTTTAGTCAACAGCCACTGCAGTACTGACAATAGATGCAATTCCACTAAAGGAGAAGCAATATTTATCTTCCAAGTAAAAAAAACATCCAAGTAATTTGTCATCGAATCCTTACATTTCCAAACCAACCCTACTGGCTTCCTAAAAAAGTCTGCTTTCCATTTAATGCTAGTTTTAAATAATTTCTTAAATGCACTAATATTGCTAATACACTTATCCATGTATTCTTTGGCCCTGAAGTTATGTGAAAAATTATAAAAGTTAATGCAGTGTTAACTAGTATTATCATGTAATAAATTAAAAACATTTAATCAGAATTAAATTCTTACAGTTTAGATTTCTTTCCCACAAAATCTATTCATTGTTTCATAATTCATTGGTTTATAACATTTATCTAATGGCTGAACTGAATCTGATTTTTCCTCTTAACATGCCAGTCCTCCCCAAGTATTCCAACTACAGCTAAGTTAATTCATGTACTAGTTTTACAAAGTGAAGAGGGGAGAACAGAGAGAAGAAAGCTGCAGCATGTTATCTACGATCTCTTTTCAGTTATTGTGACAGAAAAGAGGAAAATCTTGCATTCTATTTACTCTATAACACATAAATTACTTAGCTTAATAAGCTTTCACTTGCAATACACATGTGAGCCTCCATTACAATTTAGATACCTGAATTCACTTCCTGTTCTTTGCTTTCATTGGTAAGAGGATTATCATGGAGCTTCAAGTAGATTTCAATCGCTGATCGAGCAGCTTTGAAGTAGAAGGCATGTTTCCTGAGCACATCTTCTAATCTCAAGAGGTCTACATAGGCACGAAGAGTCATCTTTCTCATGCAGTATGTGTGAAAGTCAAATTGATCATCTGTTATCTCAAAAAAATGCTTCAAGGAAAAAAAAAAAAAGAAGACACTCATATACTCATCCCTTGCTTAATATACTTTTTTTATTAGATAGAGGTGTATAAAGTTACAACTCTTATTATTTACAGGCAATATTTAACAGACATAGAAATGTCTGTCCAAAAGAGCCTATCGGGAGGGGAAATCTCTGTTAACAACAACTATAATGTGATTGCTCAGACTTATGTACTCTAAGAGCCAAGTGAAATATGATTGTTCTGATTGAAAATACAATTGTCAGGAGACAGCATAAAGTTAATATATGAATAGTCGTATAGTTTGGAGACATGGTATTTATATTGAAACTGTTTCACTTCAAATAATAGCCTTTCATGTAATGGCTAGAGATGACATCTGTTACAATAAATCATCAAGTACTAAACTTGTTTTTAGAAGTCAATATATTAGAAGATTTACATGCTTCTATAGCATATAAAATCATGCGGATTACATCAACAAATATCTTCATTAGTTTATAAGAAATACTGAGGAAGCAATTGATGGTGTTTGCACCCACTTACCCTTTCTACTTCATGACATTTTTTCAAGGCATCACCATACTTCCCTAGCCTTTGATAAGCTGCAGCACATTCAGTCTGGAACCACATACACTGCATCTCATTAAGGTTTTCCATAGCAGAAGTTCCTTCCTGAAAGAAGTGTCATTATCACTTTTTGCTCCTATAGTTTACCAGTTGCTTCTTTCTACTATGGCTAGTTTCAGGCCATGAGTAGCAATCAATCAATCCTTCAACTGCTTGGAATACAACAGAAAACAGAAAAATGCTCCGTGCCTAATACTTGTGATAATTCTATGCTCCCCAAGATAGAAAGGAATAGATTGAAATTATTAAAAAAAAACAATTATCTGAAGAGTAATGTCTCAACAGATTTATAAGATTACCTCATGTTTGTATACACAGTCTTACTTTCACACATTGAGGGCAGAAACAACACTATTTAAAAAAATTCCTAAAGTTGAGCAACAATTTTAGCTGTTTCTTCCTGTCAGGCAAGTGGTATCCACCAGTCTAAAAACCCACCAATATATTTACTGCTCTATTGTGCAGTATGAGTAATAGTAAGTTTCTTAGAACTTGTTAGTCTAAATAAATGAAATTAGATTTATACTTGATATTTTGACAAGAAAAAAATCCTAGGATTGAGACCTAGTTTCAATGCTCTAGATGAGAATAAGTAAACTGGAAAAACATTCCACATATCATGAACACTACCCACCAAGTTTCCAGAACAGTCTTTATAGCAGAAAGAAGACCAAGTCAAACTCACAACATTTAATTACTTAGGATGAAATTTATCCTATCTTTCCAGATACCTATGGTAAAGTTCAGTGTTTCTAACACTTCTGACAAGCATACATGATGAGTTGTCTTCATATTTAGTTACAAAAGTGATATGGAGATCTGGCCTTTGGGAATCCAAATTTTGTTCAGTGTCAAAAATAGTTATCCCATCTTTTAAGGACAGACCTTGTTTTAACAAAGTTTTTGTTGGTAATACTAGCTTAAATGAATTAAATGTTCAAGTCTAAATTCATTTACATTAATGCTAAATCATCCTGTGCAGTTAGCTCAGATCAAATGTTACTAACAGGAAACAGTAGGTTTTGCAAATAAGGTATCCATCAGATGCATTTGCAGAGATGTACTTAGAAGTATGGCAATAAAAAGTACTTCTGGACAACTACCTTTGATCAACCTTTTTTTATGTATTTACTGGGTCTATACAGCTCGAGTACTGCATCCATCTGTGGGGCCCGCAGCACAAGAGGGACACAGGTGTATTACAGCAGGTTCAGAGAAAGGCCATGAAAAATCAGAAGGCTGGAACACCTGTGCTGTGACAAAAAGCTGAGGGAGTTGGGGTTGTTCACCCTGGAGAAGAGCAGGCTCCAGGGAGACTTTACAGGAGTCTGTCAATATATAAAGAAGATTCATAAGACAGACAGGAAGAGATGTTTCACCAGGGTCAGTAGAGACAGGACAAAGGAAGTTGTGGATGCCCTGTCCCTGGAAGTGTTCAAGACTAGGCTGGATGCAGCTTTGAGCAACCTGATTTAATCAAATATGTCCATACGCATGGCAGAGGAGTTGGACTATTCAACCTTTAAAAGGCCTTTTCCAATACAAACCATTCTATGATACTATATAGTTCTTCACCACTAAGTGTAAGAACGTTATATTAAAAATGGACATCAATAAAATAATTTATCTGGGTCAAGAAGTAAAAAATAAACCAGCAGAGGCAAGAAAAACCTCTCTTAATTAAAGCAATATACTTGCCCTTGTGAATTTAGAGCACATCTCTTCTGCATCCTTCACCATATTTGCTCGCAGCATGTATTTAGCACATTTAGAATTGATAAATCTGTCTGCAGTATCCAAAGACTGTGCTTCATCCATCCATTTGGCAGCTTCTTTTATGTTACCTACATGCTGTTAGGGAGAAATTAAATAGTTAACTTTCAGTATTAATCTACTCTTGACCAACTCCCAAAATCTCTAGTTACTGGTATTTCTGTCAGAAGTAGCAAAAAGCCAGTATTATTGTTCACTCCCCCCACTCCTAGAATTTTTTCAGATTGACAATTTGCTATAAGTTGTGACTGGCTTCACAAAGCCCAAACAAAAGGGTTTTCATTCTCTTCCTGACAGAACAGTGCTGAAAAACAAGCCCACATGAAAACTGATGCCCCAAACCACTGCTAACTGAAACACAATCCACACATTCACACCAGTTTGATGGGTTGATTTTTTTTTTATAAACCAAGTACTCCACATGTCCACATTCACTTTTTACCTTGTAAATTTTTGCTTTTAAATAGAATAGTTCTATTAATGTTGGAGTGCTTGCAATTGCAGCATTGATGTAATCCAAGGCCAAAGAACACTGGCCAAGTTTGTCAAAGTGCTGTGCCAGGAAATACCGAACCCAAAGCAGTGTTGTTGGGGGCTCTTTCTCTCCATTTTCTGCAACAAAACCGAAAAGGTTACAATAACTGGTAAGGCTGAAGACTGCATTTGAAAACAAACACAAAAAACATAGCTTGGCAAATTCAGCAAATATTTCCTGTAATGAGTTCATTTACTAGAATGTATTATAACTACTTTTTTTTTTTTTTTTTTTTTCAAAAAGTATCAGCACCTGAAGAGTTCTTCATAATTCCCATGAACAGTATTAGTAATTACAGGGTAATTAATATAAGAACATAGAAACTTACCACATGTACTAAAAAGGTCACAAGTTTTCAAAGAGGTTTCATAACCAGTAACAAGCTCCTGGATTGTAGATACCTACATATAAAAAAATATGTGCTTAAGTTATGCTTTACTATCATTTTAAAAGAAACTAACATATTGAAAAGAATATTTGAGCAAATTAGAGAAACTACATAAAAAATAGCTACTTAATTTGATTTAAAAATGGATGCATCTCTCCTTGGTTTATTTCACCTTTCACAAGCTATCTTTGATCACTCCTTTTAGTGGTGATGAGGCAGGAAAATAGGTTAATCTTGAGCAGTTTATGGCAGAAAATAACCAAGTACATTTGTTTAGTACCTCTTTAACAAAAATTCCAAAGTACAACTTAATTTATGCTATTCATTTTGAAGCATTGAAACTGAGTCAGTTAAAGAAAGTTGATTTGAAAAAGACTGCATGAACTTCCCACAGCAACAAAATACAGCAGAGACTTCTATGGTTTTCTGGCAGGTTGATGTGTACTATTAATGATTTTTGTTTTGTTTGAAAGGTATTGTTGCCTAGAACATGGACTGTATCTTTTGACATAAAAATCTATATAATGACTGATTTAAGGCTAATACTTTCTGAAATCAGACCTTGCCAACAATATGGTTTCTAAAAATTTACCCATTTATTTTTTAGCTCGCACTATACAAGTCTGACATTTACAGTAAATACAAGTGATAGTATCTGTGTATTTCATGACAATTAACTATTCCAATACCAGGTCCTTTGCTCAAAATGCCACTAGTATTTTTAAACATTTTATGAAATGCTCAACCTGTTTTGTAGCTACCTTCTAAACATGCCTGCCATATCCCACAAGTAACCAACCAGCCTCATAAGAACACTACTAAAGGAAGAAATATGATCTACGTATATATACTCAAAATACATAAGGGACTTAAAAAATTAGATGTGACTGTAAGCATTGCAGGATAATGGTTACATTCACCAATTATGTGAAACCTCTAGATGGTAAAAAACTACAACTTGCATGGTTAAAAGTAAGATAATCCTATACATAAAAAATTGGTTGCAAGAGTAAAATAAAATTGTGGAGAAACAGCAAAGTTTTAAAAAAGTTCCTATTGACAATGCATGCATCCACTTCAAGATACATTTTGGGACAGAAGGGTAAGGTAATAAACCTTTTTCTAGAAGATCGAAGTATACAATTTGAAGGATACTACTTTATTTACCTAATTCAGCACAATTGGCATGAAATGCCAAACATACTGTGTCAAAGAGAGCAGAGAAGGCAACGTATCCAAGTCACATACAGTCAGTATAAGTGTCTCAAAAGTATAATAAAATGTATAAGCACACACTCTAGAAAGCTCTGAGCAAATCTCAGAAGTGGGTTTTGGTAGCAAAATCTCAAAGCATAAAACGTTACAAGACTTCAAATAACTACAAAGTGATAAAAGACCGTGAAGAAGTCACAAGTAAATGCATTTATTTGCCTTTGTCCATTAAGCTGTCCTCCGGCCTGCCTCAGACACCTGTTTGCTGAAAGAAATCGTCAATAACCTCAGAAAGTATTTCAAGATCATCTTCTCTAAAATTAGGTTAAATGCAGAAGCATCTGCTTCAGGTAGAAAGTGTGTATTTGCAACAGCTGCTTTTCACTGCAACTTGCAAGTACCTCCAAAGTGATTCTCATCTGGCTGCTAGTAACTTCAAACTCCTCTGAGACCAGCTAGCTTTGCTAGACTGCGAGTAAACTGTGTGCAAAGGGAGAAAGACTCCTTCCTTTCTTTAAAAGCACACCCCACCACCAAACTCCATATAAAAATGTTTCCATTACTGCACACTCAGGAGTATGGCTTCACTACTGGACAAAGACCACGCTACCACCAAAACCGACGGCGCCACCACTTCTGAGCCACATGTGCCTGGTCCCTGTTCTGGGTGAATGTGAGCGGCTGTATCCAGGGTTACGAGTGATTTCCTCTCTGTTCCACCTCAGTGTACCCAGGCCAAATTATTCATTACCTCATCAGGGGGAACGGGCAGTGGACAGACCGGGGGCATCCTAGTACGAGGGTCTTCAATCAGCTTACATGTTGATTCACTGTTACAGCGAAATCAAATACTCTGAGTATTGAGGAGATGGAGAATACCAAACTGCATTTTGTTTTGGAATTTGTCAAGTTCTTCCAAATTCAGAACTCTGCAGTGACTTTGGTTTTTACAGTTCAAGAAAACACACTCTAACTGCCATTCTGAAAGTTACTATGAACAATAAATTTTGAAACAAGTATTCAGTGAAAGCAACAGCTTTAAAAAAAGTAATTCAAATGAGTTAGTTGGGTTATTGCAGACATCTGTGATGAAAACAACACTATCTTTGTTTCTCATGATTATTCAGTCTTTTTCCCTTCCTTTTTATGCTTATGCTATAGCCTCTTGCTAGTAATTTAGGAAAACAATTCCAGGTTCATGTGCTGCTTCAGGGAGCTAAGTATCTGGAAATCTGAACCCTAATTTCTGTGTCCATATTAACTGCAAATTTAGCAGCAAAATCTGTCTTTTGAATTTGCTACTATCGAACGTCCGGATTCTCAAGTCACCACTGCCAAAGGCAATAATATTTTATTATTTCTAAAAGCTACAGCATTCTTCATGATCTCTAAGGATTAGGCTGAGGTATCTGGAAATACCATGACACTGACAAGGTGATTTCAAACAGAATTATTTGAGGAAAACAGTTCAAATTATTTTCTTAAGTTATTACAAAAGCGTAACTGAAGTAATGAACAAATCTCACGTTTCTTATGACAAGACTGGAGCCAATTCCAAAACTGGGGCCACCAGTTTCAGAAGACTCTTAAATAATCAAAATTCAAATCCCAACCTTTTCATAGTTCACTACCTACACATCTTTCATTTCATTACAGAAGAATAATGAGCTAAACTGCAGGAATCCAAGGAGAGAAAAATGGGCTTTAACTTTCCCCATTTGCAGACAAGTGAAGTGCTCATTTTTCCACCTATACCCTATGTAAAGAGTAAAACCGCACATGCTCACAAATCAGTACAGATTCCTGCCAAGAGTAATAATCCTGAAACTTAAGAAAGCATCTTTCACACTTTGTACTACTTGAAGCAAAGACTCCACAGAGGTCATAATGCTTTTTTTCCCATTTCTGTGCAGTTTGTTTCCACCAGAAAGGACAGTTTTGTAAATTAACTTTAAAATACTTAAATACTTTAAAATACTTGAAATACTTAAATGGGTACTTGAGAAATACAAACCAAGACTGGAATAAATATAATGAAAACACACCTTCATTTCTTTTTAAACTATAAGTAACAGGAATGCAATTCACTTAACACCAATTCTGAATTCCTTTTTCAGTGAAAAACTAATTTTTATTTATCTGATTATACTGAGAAACATTTTGTGTCCTCCTTTGTAATAGAACACCTAACAAAGTTATTGTTTTCTAGGCAAATGGCTGATGACTAGGATTCTTTTTTCACCACTTGTAGCTATCACAGTGGCACCTATCGGCCAGTCATTCAATGGAAATCTGTGCTACACTCTATGCCATACATGAAGTGACTCCTGCCACAGAAATTTTTCTTTAGACAGAAAAAACCAGGCCTATTAGAGATAAGAATCATAATATAGGGCTCCAAAATGGAATGTCAGGGCTATAGCCTGAACCTTAACTGAATTTTTTTTTTTGCTATACTCCATGAAGGAGTAAGTTGAATTAAATGACAAAGGAATAAAAGTAGGGAGAAAAGCAACACAAAGGTTTTTAAGAAACATACATAACAAAGGTGAGGTGAAATACATAATGGAAAATAAATAGCCCACTAGCACAAAGCAGGGATGCAAATTTTTCAAATAAAAGGTTTATATTCTCTGGTTCTTTTATGGAAGCTAAATTACTACACTGATTCTATATCATACTATTGCATCAGTTGGGCAAAATATTTTATAGTAGACTTCTGTTTAAATGACAACCTTCCAAACACTAATACTGTATTTCCTTCTTCAGTGAAACGACTGGAAGAAAGTGAACTGAACTATTGTAGCGTACTATAAAGTCATTAGACTTTAGCTGTGCCAATAACTTGTTTAAAGAATTCAGTAGAACTTATCAGTTACAGACACTACATGTAAGTGTTGTTTTTCAGTTGCTGCTATTTTAATTCAGGAAGATGTTACCAGCACTTCTAGCACAAACACAGGTTAAACGCTACTGCATGTAGGGAGTTTGAGAAGCAATCTATAATTTTACCATTTGGCACAGGTTTGAGTCCCCACCTTTTGATTTCCTGAGGACACACTTAATATTATCTGCTCTGTTCTCAAAGGCAAGTGACCAAATGCTGCCCAAACAAGAAAACCTGTTACTGATCTGCACACACAGATGCAACGGTGATCTTACGCTAACAAAAATTAATTATGCATTAGTGCAGGCGAATCATCAGGAAAATCCCAGAAATACTTTAAGATCATGTGTTCTAGTATGTGCTTTTATAAAAAAAGATGTCACTGTTACAAAATTCCTACATAATTACACTACTGAAACAGACAAAGGGTAAATATTGTGCCTTGAACAACACCAGCAATAGAAAGGACACAAAACAGTGAGTGTCACCTAAAACACTGAAATGGCCCATCATGCACCAAATGGATCACCTCCGGGTATTGCCGCAGTAGGAGATTGATGCTTTAGAAAACCACTTTGATTGTTTCCTCCTTAGAGAATTCCTAATAATCATACATGCCAGAAGCTAAGTATTTGCATGTTGGAGGGTTTTTTGTTGTTTGTTTGTTTTTAAAAGAACTGAAGCTTTTTAAAAACTAGCTATTCACAGTTCAGTACTGCATTTAGAATACTTTTAACTGTTTAATTACTTTAATTAAAGTAACTTTCTTCTCTTTCAAGCAGCTGCACAGTTCACTGCAACCTTTTCCTAAACAGTAAGTGGTGTCCTTAACAAAAGGAGACTGCTTTCTCAGAAAATAGCCCTGCCTCAGTGTCAAACCTGCAAGCTTATGAAATACCAGCATCTCACATTGT